CCCTACATAGGGGTACTGTTCCAAGCTGTTTACTACCATTTAACTCATGTCATCCACAAAACTCGTAGGAGGGAGGTACTGTAACTAGCCCCATTCTACAGATGGGAAAACTGACACACCAAGTTTTCCTTGTTTGTCACACATGGTGAGTGGCCGTCTGGGATTCAAATCGGACGCCTCCGTGGAGCCTCTGAATCTCAGGGTTTGGTCCTGTCCGCTCGCCCTGGTGAAGCGGGGTGCTCAGCCCCAACAAGTCCAGATGCCCCCTCATCTGTCCCTCTGCAAAGGTCCCACCGAGGCAGGGAGTCCCAGGGCTGGACCCTTCCTCTGACCGGAGCATCTTCTCCCCACCTCTGATGATTTCTCGTCACCCAAAGTCATCCCCCAGGAGAACCCACCAGCAAGCATCCCAGGACGCCGGGACCTCCCCGGCCCTAACAGTGACCACCTGTGAACCCTGGTGGGGAGGAGACGTGAGAAAGGACACCATGCAGAAAAAAGGCGCGGGTGGGATAGACTTTCGCACAGGCAGAATCACAGGGTATGTTTCATGGCAAACCAGATGCACAACACTTGAATTCAGCTTCCCCCCCTCCCCTCCCTCCCTCCCTCCCTTCCTTCTTTCTTTCCTATTTCCTTTTTATAACGAGATCTATGCCAAAGGTGGCTTAGCAATCAACATTTTAAAAATCTGGATCTTTTCACAAAAGTTTTAGCCATGTGTCCCACCCGGAGGGGCTGGCAGAGGCTGAGTCAGAGCTGTTCCCTTCCCGAGCACACGCCGCCTTTTTGCCGCTGTCCGTGCAGACCCAGTCTCACCTTCCTGTGACCTGACATCCGAGGGCATGACCCGTGTTATACAGACAGGAGATACCTTGATATAATGGGGAAGGGACCCTAACATACCTTCCTCCTTAGCTTGAATTTGTTGATGACTTATTATTATTCCTTTTAAATTCTGCTTTAATTCTTTTACTTATTTTTATCCCCCAGGCTGGGGAAGGGGTCTCGGAGAGATAAGGGCAGAGAGACAAATTTATTCTCTTCACCATTTTTCCCAAGTCCATCCTACCCACTGCCACCAAAAGCTCTTTCCTTCTGGGAAGGACCTTGTTTGGCACTCAACGATTTTAACTGCAGATGGGGAAGCTTTGCGGGTTCACATCCCAAAGTTCTACTTTTTTTTTTTGCATTAAAAAGTGAAGTCTTCCTGCAGCCCGTGTTGCACGTGTTACATGCGTGGCGACATCACGCTCTGGCTTTGTCTCCAGTTTGGGGCTAAACAACCTTGCAGCCCCTCTGCTGTCTCACTTCCCTGGGAAGTTGCAATTTCTTAGCCCCTCGGTGGACGAATGCTGGTTTCACTGTTGCTATGGAAACTCTCACCAGAACCCAGGATCCTGGAAAGTTAGAACCCCTCAAACATGAACCAAATCCCCTGAAAAGGTGGAAATGGGTGTGCTTGTGGATGACCATAAACTGCCCCGAGTTGGGACTGCAATGGGTCGCTTGTGTCTATATGTGGGCGGGAGGAGAAACAGCACACACGCATCTTCTTGCATCCGCTCCAGTCTCCAGCCTTCCTGGTCTGACTGCGCCTCGCCTTCCTGGACAGGAGAGGGGTTATTGCTATGTAGCTTCCCAAGAGCCAGTCTTGAACACAGCTCTCCTGGCCCTGCGGAGCTCTGATTACCAATTTGGGCCTAGCAATTTCTAATGACCTCTCGTGACAGATTCGACTCCCCCCTGCCGACCACCAACCCACCCTGATTCAGTGACCAGTGGCCCAAGGCACCAGGCATTTTCAGGAACACTAAGACGAATCCCCAGAGCCTCTAAAGATGTCAGGAATTCTCTGAGCTTCCAAGAAGCTTTGGAAATTCTTCCACAAACACTTCTCACTGACTCAGAGGGATATTACTTTCGTCTGGTATTGGGTTTCTTCTTAAGGGCACTAGAGTTCATTAATACTTATCCTCCACCAACTTTCATGGGGTTGTCAGAGGGTCGATGGGACCGTGTGTGTGAGGCTTTTCGTTCTAGAGAGGAGTATTTCTGTTCCATTCCTTCATTCATTTACTTCTGTATATTTATTCACTCAACCAACATTTATTGGGTACCTGTCATGAGCCACGACACTGGGCATCAAGAACAACAGGGTCCTGCCTCCACGGATGGACATTGTAATTGGGCGAGCGGGTAAGAAAGGCCGTAGGCAAGCAAATAAACAAGGAAATGTCAATTGCAACAAGAAGCCTTAGGTTGAACCACTAAAATTGATATTCAATCATTTTGACTTATAAGACTGGCTATTTCACATAAGCCTAATCCTGTGATGAAACGTCAATCCAATGCTATGATGAAGACTCACTCATTCACTCGCTCACTCATTCGTTCATTCAACAAACAATTACCAAGTACTTGTCATGTGCCAGTCACCACCCTGGGTTCTGAAGGTGATAGCAGTGAAAACAAACACACACAAAACCAAGTCTCTTGGAGTTTACACTCGAGAGGGAGAGACAGACCCTACCCACGTATATTAAACAATATGGAGTGTGTCAGGTCGTCCTAAGTGTTAAGGAGAAAAATACGGCGTGGGACGGGGGGCTATGGAGCTGCAGGTGTAGCAGAGGCTGGCGGTACTCACTGAAGTGGCCGCGGAGCCTCCCCAGGAAGCAGCGGAGACCAGAGGCTGGTGACGGAGCCCCCCCGCCCCAACCCCCGAGGAAGGGCTGTGGGTGGAGTCCAGGCGTGGGAACAGCATGGCACCTGGATGCCGCCCATTCCCACCGAGCCGAGGCACTGAGCCAGGCTGCTAACAGGACTGTGGGGCACGGGGGCTGCACTGAGCTCCTAGGAAGCTTCCAGAAGGTTCCCTGCTCCAGACACCGCTCTCTGGTGCGGACAATGTCCCACAGGAGGGAAAGGGAGCCTTTATCCTCCATCACTTCAAGGAGGAACGTCTCTCCAGAGTGTGGCTGACTATAACCCCTTTGGTCTTGTTGGCCCGAACTGGCCAGATGCCCACCCTGAGGCCAACCCCCGGCCACCCGCAGGCTGAGGGGTCTTTGCACCCAGAAGGTGGGTCACGCCCCTCCTCTGCTCAGAGCCCCTCAGTGGTCCTCATCACACAGAGTAAAACCGCAGTGCTGCCGTGGCGGTGAGGCTGCACTCTGTCCGCCTCTCCCGCTCTGCTACACACACCCGGGCTTTCTTACTCTTTCCAAAGACCAGGCAAACTTCCACCTCAGGGCCTTTGCACATGCCGTTCCCTCTGCCAGTCACACTCTTCCCCCATCCCCAATATTGGAAGAGCTTGTCCAGGCTTTGCCCAAATACCACCTTCTCAGTGAAGCCATATTTAAAACTATAACCAACCGCCCTGCAGCATCCTTTTCTCCACCCTGCTTTATTTCACTCCAGAGCACTTAGCACCATCTAATATATTTCACACTTTACTAGCCCACTGTCTGCCTCCCCTCCCTAGGATGCAAACAGGCTCCTGTCTCAGGCTGTGGTCCCTGCCCTGGACAGGCCACTCAGTAAATAAGCCATCCTTTGTGATGTTCCCTCATGACTCCTTGGACTCAGCTCTGACCACCCAGTCTGTTCTAGCCACATTGGCCTCAGCCCAGCTCCGGGAATTTTCTGAACATTCCCCAGCAGGTGCTTGCAGGGACAGTGATGGTGGAGGTGTGTTTCCGGTATCTCAGGTCAATAAAAGGGCAGGGTGAGGTGATCAAGAACCAGACTGCCTGGGTTCAAATCCCAGCTCTGCTGCCTCTAGCTAGCGACTTAACCTCTCTGGGCTTCCTTTCCTCCTTCGGGATTAACTGTTTATTAGCATATGGATCAACTTTTCGATGGGTGATTAATTAACAATGTTGATTAGTTAATTAGGAATGAACACCTGCTTCGAAAAGGGGTTTTGAATATTACATGACTTAGGGTAGTACCTGGCATCTATGAAGCCTATTACCTTTTACTCTGAACATAAGAAAACCCCTTCCCATGGACCTTGTGCAGTATCACGTAAGGCAGGACCCTGTAATGCAGCTTCATGTAATAAAGGGTCATGTGATACAGTACCATGTGGGAGAGCATCATGTAATTTGGCATTGTGTAATAGAGCATCATGTTATAAAGTATCACGCAATTCAATATCATGTAATGCAGCATCATGTTATAAAGTATCACGTGATGCCACTTTAGTATAAAGCTCAAGGTGCATGGGGCAGGGGGGTCGGGGTAGAAGGTATTCGGTGAGCGGGGACTCTACCAGCAAGGCAGTGAGTGACTAGGATGATGGCATTGGTAAGATGGTGCAGTTAAACAAAATGTGCTACCATTTAGTAAGCACTTACTGAGTACCAGGCCCTATCTCACCCAGTGCTGAGGGCTGTGTGCTGTGCTCACTTTTACAACAGGCTA